AATGTCATTCAGTAGAAATGACAGAACTAATTCACCTTATACTACTAGAGTGGGAAGGGTAGTGAACAAACCAAAGAAATTTGATGATTATATATAAATTAGCTATTAAGAGGTTTATATAAGATAGTACAAATTAAAGTGCGAATAGTCATTTTGGTTAGATCAAAACAGAAATGCGTAGACATTAGTTGATATAAGTAGAGTGTAAGGATTAGAAGAGTAAGAATGAATGTTTAATTTGTTAAGCGGCATGAACTTCATTCTTCGAGTCAATTGAGTTTAAATAAAGAAGGTAACGCCTGAAAGGGAGAGATGTTGTGAGTTAGAGTTAAGTAATGTATCGAGCGTGAGCGACATCTAACAGTATGCGGTGAGACCACGAAATAACAATAATAAGAATAACGAGTGTGTGTATTAGAAAAAGGGCTAGACGAGAGCAGTCTGTATTAATCAGTTACTCAATAAAACCAGTACGCAGTTCTTAATTAAACATTCCACTTCATCATTAAGCCTACCACAAAACAATATTATTACAAATATTTATTTTTTTGTTTATTATAAATATTGTATAAAATATTTAGTCTATATTTTAATAATATTTTAAATAAAGATTTTGATACTTTTTTCTTTATCTACATAAATATTTCTAAAATATTTATATAATATTTTTAAAAAATAATTCGAAATAAATATTTATGAATCTTTATCATAAATATTGTGTGCTGTTTGGGATTAGATGCTGCCAGCGTTGGGAAGTAACTTGTTACTTGTAACGAAGTTACAGTTACAGTTACATTTTTTCGGTAACTGTAACTTAGTTACTTTTTTCCCACTGTAACTATAACTTAACTTAGTTACTTATTTTTAGTAACTTATAAATTTTTTAACAGTTACTTTAATAGTTACTTGGGAAACGTAAAATAAAATTAAAATTATATAGTAATCGTACATTAATTTAATAAATTTATCAACGTATTTATGTGCATAAATTCTTTTACCTCTACAAGTCTCTACAAGACTATTATTAAATTTTTATTATGTTAAGTACAGATTTGAAATTTGTTAAGTGGTTAGATTAATTAATGTGATAGATATTAATTATAAAATTCAATTCTTACATATTAGTAAATCTTAAAATGATTAAGATTTTTGAATTTACAATAATAATTTACAATCATTTCAAGAAAGTACTTCAAAGTAACGACTCGTTACTTCTTGAGTAACTGTAACTGTAACGAGTTACTTTCCATGGCCAGTAACTTGTAACTAGTTACATTTTCAGCAAGGGAAACTGTAACTGTAATTAGTTACTTTTAAAAAGTAACTTCCCAACCCTGGATGCTGCACCATCAAAAGTAAGCGATACAACATTAATTCTAGTAGAATTTAACTTTTTTAAACATTTAGTCACAATATTTGTTCTTTCTTTGTCGCTTATTTTATAGATAAAATGATAAGTTACTGGAATTTTCCAATGGTCATTTATACAAACGACTAGAATTACCATTGCTTGTGTAGCTCTATCTGATAAATCAGATTTCACTATGTGAATACTATTTATAACGCTGCTTATCGTATAGCGTCGCGAGAAGTTTTTCCTGACGCTTACCGGGTGGCTTATCGCACATAGGACAAAACGGTAGGTCAGTGTGCACATCGTGCAAATTTTGCGGATACTCCAAGTCGACCTCGAGAATGTATCCTGTGGGCGAATCGTCAGCGACTGAGAATACGTCAAAGTTTGACACGTTGTCGATCCATCGAAACTCGGCGTAAGGCAATGGTTGACACATTGCCCATTCATACAAATTGTTTACGTCAAAGTATATTAGATGGAAATGCAGTATTGAATGTAATAAGAAGTATGGAGTATGGAGCACTCAAGCTTACAATTGAAGAATATTTTATTGAATAATTTTACAATCAGTTAGTCGTTTCGCTCGAGATTAGTATAAAAAAGTTTAATAAATTGATTAAGATTATAACCGCGGCACATATAATAAAGAAAAATACAAGAATAGTGTCCACAAGTTTGCGCTGAATACCCCTGTAGCTGGGTAGTGTTCCATCGCTGGATGATTGAATTTCTTCTAAGTCGAAGAAGGAATCTGGTGTCGATCGGGGGTAGTCCGTAGCTGTCGAAGTATGTCCCCGTTCCAAATTTATTGACGTAGAAGGCGATCCAGTGCTGTCCTGGACGATCATGATTGTCGGTATTAGCGACTATCGCCGTCAACCTCGTCCACACCTTCGGTACTCGGTCGGCTGGGTAGACCCCTGAGTGTCTAACATCGAGTTGTTGAATCGCTTATAGAATTTCGAGCGAATTCATTTTGACAGAATAGAGGTGTATGTAAAGTATTTACCTTGGGTATGATCACCGTTATTTCGTCGTTCGTTCTATCTTCCGTTGTTTTCGCTCCTTCGACGGTTCCCTTTGCGGCTTCCTCCGGCTTTGTTGTTGTTTAGGGCGGGCAGAAATTATAGCAAAAATCCGCACTATGGTCGGACGACTCCTCGCTCACTTCACTGATGCTGCTGAGCCTGTCCACCCCCTCCTCCTCCTTCTTCTTCTTCATAACTTGCTCCCACTTCTTCAGCTCTCCGTTTTTCTCCTCGTACCGCTCTAGCGCGTTGAACCACTCTTTTAATTTAGCGGCGTTGTTTAACGCGCAATGAAAATCAGAGCCCCACATTGTCACATGATAGCCGTGATATATGCACCTTATATCGCGCTCGCTCGATGGCAAACATTTGAAGGAGGGAGAGATTTCCTCGAGATTATCCCTAGTAAATTACGCAAATAATCCGTTTTCTCTTTGCCTCTGGTGTAAATACGTCGGGCGTTTCTGGATATTTCGCGCAAGTGCTGGAACAAATATTCCGAATCGGTTTCTCCGTCCCACCACTCGATCCCATGATAATTTCTTGTGAGCCAGTAATTTTGCCGTCTTGTCTTCTCCTTCAATGTGCCAAACGGATATTGCGGTCGTAAAATCCAGTGCCCTATATATGCTGCGTGAACTGCGACAACGGCGACTTCTTTAGCCGTAAAGTTATCATCGTTATCCCGAAAAGCCTGCACGTCGATGACTAATTCCATATTCACCTACGTTCCAACATTCGCCGAGATCATTCACTTCGCACGAGTTGCCGCGTAAAGGTCTCGAGGAGAAATGTCTAATCTAGCCTCGGGTAGAGCTATTTTTTCAAAGATTCGCAGACGTTGTCACATATAGCGTTTTTGTTACATATTGTTATCTCAGCTTCTCGTTCTGCGTCATAGATGAAGAATAAGAGGGGGAAACTGCAATGTCGCGTATTTTGCATCATTGTAAGAACAAAGGTATGCGATAGTGGGGGATTGTCTATATTAGAAAAACGGCTCTTACATGACCATTGCATCATTTGTTCTGTGACACAAGGATCGAACAGACAAGTTAGACTGTTAAGAAGATGTATACTAACGGTGCTGCAGTCAAACGTCTAACGTCAAACGAAACGTCAAACGAATGAATTATTACATTCCTATCCAAAAGGACCATGCAGAGACTGCTAATGCAAGGTAGGTTTTGCCTTTCATCATTTTTTCTTTCCTTCAATTAACTGTTTTTTTGTACATTATACATATAATTTTTATTCTTTTATAGCGCTTCTTCCTCCAATCCATCTTTACGGTCTCACCATATAACTCGTATCTTGGGAAGGAGATATGACCTAACATCCACATTCTATAAATATCTAGAAATTGGAATCAGTGTAGGACCTGTGTCTTGCGTGGAAATTATTCTTGGTGACAATCGCGGCAATCACATGATATTACCACATCAAATCTGGAAGGAGATTATGCACAAACGCACAGACTTCGATCGACTCCTGCAACAGGCTGAAACTTCGCCGTTTTGGATTCGCGACTTGTCAATCAAAAGTGATAAAATACAGAATGCTAAAGTTCAGAAACTCACCCTATTCGGCAATATTTTATATGTTAAACGAAAAACATTGGATAGGTTATTTGTTTATGAACAATGTATTGACCATATGTATGGATGGCTTTGTGAGAATACACATCTTGTTGACACAAAGTTTAAAAAGTTTGTAAAGATTTTACAACAGAATAACATCA